CCACAATTGTGCTATCGTCTGCATACCCATAGATACTGGCCATAAGCAGATCATTAATATGCAGCAGGAAGAGAGTTGCGGAGAGAACTGACCACTGAGGAACACCGGCGTTAGTTGCCACAGGATCGGATGAGCAGCCATCGATGACGACCCAGAGAGACTATTTACTGAGAGTCTTTTACCCACTCAATCAGGCTGTACGCTGGAAGCTTACTCAAAAGGCTAGTGTGCCAAACTCTGTCAATCAAGGAAGGGACATCAAAGGAAACAAGTGTTCCCCCACTGTTCTTGATTGCCTTGCCCCATACGTGTGTGGTATACGCTAGAAGGTCCCCAGCTGACCGAATTTGGGTATGCTTTAATATACGCTCCATAATCTTGCAGTGTATTGAGGTAATTGAAATTGGCCGATAATTGGCAGGGTCAGCACGCATGGATTTTTTGAAACAGGCTGCACGTTGGCCAGCTTCCAGGATTTTAGCACTATTCCAGTCCTAAATTAGAGGCGGAACAAGCGTGTCAGCACAGCAGACAACTCAGGCGCAGAAGCCGATAGAAGAAGAAATATAGCTGGTATACTATCTGGTCCACTAGCTTAATTCACGTCTAGACATCGCAAGGTTTTAAGAACCTCCTTATTTGTGATAAAAACCTCTGACATGGAGGTCCCGCAGTGAGGTAATTTAGGTGGAATGTTGTTGCCACTGTCCAGACACGAATTGTAGGCAAATAGACATGCGAACAAGTCCGCTTTCTCTTTAGCCGTATGCGCTAGTGTGCCATCCGGTTTTTCCAGTGGAGGCTGTGTAGGCCGACAGAAGTTTGCTTCGACCGCTTTGGCAAGGGACCAAAAAGCTCTAGTGCCGGATAGTCTGGCAGATAGTTTTGCGCCAATATGTTTAATGCGATCGATGCTGGCTTTCCGTATATCTTTTTTGTAGGACTCGCCTTCAACCGCCTGGTTGAAATTTCTATTCTTGGAGCTCATAGCTTTGTGGTTTCGAGCATCAACGTAGGACAGGTACGCTACATGCTTGCACTTTTCAGCTTGGGCACATTCAGAGTAACAGTAAGGGTAACGTTCTTTTTAAACATAAAAAGTATCCTTTTTTTTCTTATCAGCCCGTAAATATCTACTGCCGGACATGGGACTCTCCCGTTGTAGGGATATTTCCCTGTATCGGAAATGAAACGGGATGGTTATATTGCGATCCCTTGGAAGACAAAATATTTTTGCGTTATGACATATTCGCCATTATCGACACCCACGGGACAAAATATGACGATGGATTCACTTACGCAGCCACCGCCGCACAGGTGAACACAAAGTTGAAGACATATTTCATATCCAGCCTGGTTAATTTGATATTTTTAATAGTTATTGTGAAAGTTTCGTTCGGGCATTATAAATAATGTCCTATTAATCACATGGTCCACGACATAAAACCCTTCAGTCAGTGAGCGAGATGTATGATCACCTTCATACTACACCACTACACTATGGTTGGTAAAAAGACGGTAAAAAGTAGTGATTATATACTCTTTGTACCTCTTTGTAAAATTGTAAATATGTACCAATTGGTATGTACCTACTCAGGAAATTTGGCAGTCAATCACAGATCTCTGACTAGTATACAGTTATCTGTGTCACAGATTGCGACACGCATGCGCCGTATCTAAGCGACAAAATGATTAATTAACATTCTTTGGAGAAAGATTAAAATTATTACAAAAATAAAACAGTAACCCATTTATAAAAATAATCTATGCAATTACAAGTTATCTCCTAAGGCTGGTATGTTTATATTATTCAGACTGTATTATAGTTCAAAAAGTTCATTTTTCTTAGTTTCTCCTTACTATTTGTAATTACGTGGTGTTTTTAAGAGTGCGGGTGACCTTTTCTCCATACAAACGCTCTTGCTTGGTTTCTTTCTAGTTTATGACCCTATAGAAATGAGTTTTTACAGTAATTTTAAAGTAAATATTAACCTCTTCTATGTCTCTATGTTTATTTTTTGACGATACATTATCTTTATAAGCACTAGAAACCTTAATTGCTTAAAATTGTCTATTTTGACCGCTGTCAACAGAGGTCTAGTGTTAAGATTTGATAACTATTACTGACAAAAGAAAACCATAGGCACACAGTGTATATCCATCTTATTCTGGTTATGAAATATCTTTTAAATTGGTCTAATATTAGAGGAGAAAATGGTAGAGAGCCAAACCTTGAATTAATTTTTTTTATAGGAGAGGGGGCAAACGAGCATGCGACTCACTTGATGGTAAGTGATTACCGCCGCCCATGAACAACTGCAACACCAGGGAGGGAATTGCAGATGCGTTGTCGGCCTTTTAAAAAGGAGTACGCTCTTTTCTTGTAGGTCCCTAAGTCGTATCGGTCCGGAAAAATCGCTGATGGTAATCGATTCCACAAGGAAGTCGTGCGAGGAAGAAAACATTTTCTAAATCGCACAGTGGTGGACCGCCAATCATCTAGATGGTGTGGATAGTATCGGGAGTTCTGCCGCGATGTGCGTTCGTGAAATTTAGCGGCTGGGATTAATCCGAACAATTCCTCAGAGCACTCCCCATGGTAGATGCGAAAGAAAATGCAAAGGGATGCAACATCTCTTCGCAGTGCCAATGAATCGAGCCGATCGGAAAGGGCTCAGTCGTCGACGATTCGAGCCGCTCTGCGCTGGATGCGGTCAAGTGGAAGGAGCTGGCACTGGGGAGCCCCTGCCCAGAGATGGGAACAGTATTTCATGTGAGGCCGAACCTGCGCCTTGTAAAGTTGCAGGCGGTGTGCCGGCATGAAATACTGTCCCGCTCTGCTGAGCACGTCAAGCTTTTTACAGGCCAATTTGGCCTTCTCTTCCAAGTGACCAAGAAACTGCACGTCACTCGATATGTCGACTTCGAGGATACCGATACTGGCTGAGGCAAGAAGGGGAGTGCCTTGAAACTGAGGAGATATGACAAAGGGGTTCTTTTTAGCGGTAAACGCGCAAACTTGTCTTCTGAGGATTAAACTGGACTAGATTTAGTCGCCCCCAATCTGAGACTTTATTCAGTAAAGACTCGGCTTATGTTTTTTACTTAGGATATTCAGTCGGATCTGCAGTTGTCCTTATCGGACGCTGAGCGCTCGCAGAGCGACAGCGTCAATTTCTTCAAAAATCTAATTTTCAAGTCTCTCGGACCTCATTTCTTCTTAATAACGAATCGAATAAAATGAAGTACGTGACGATTTACTGAGATGCCAGCTCTCCTTGTAAAGCTTCAAAAAGCCTTGGTTAATATTCATTGATTTATTTCAAAGGGTTCATTAAAACATAATCTCTACGCAAGGTATAAGTGAATGGAATTTTGTCCATTCATTATTACAGTCTTTCTCAAGTCCACGCTAAACATAGGCCCCCCCAAGAAATGACATAAAGCACGGTCTTGAGCCAGCTGCATCTATCGGCTCTGCTTGTCTTAATACGTCTTGTCATGTAAGTGCCGCCACTTGAGATCTTTCTACCCACCTACATATATTCTCCATCGCTTGTCATGTTGCGAGCTATATGGCTGGCTCATTTCTTCTTTAGCTTATTTAATTTCGTCTACCTATCTTAAAAGTATCACATACTTATACATATTGTATAAAGCTATTGCATACCTTAAGCGAATGCGCAAGGTATGTTCTACTATCGCCTAAAAATTAAGATTCCAACGTTTTATCGAATAAAATCGTATCTAGCAATCATATTACACATATAAATGATATAAAAAGCACATTGTTAGAAAGATAAATGATTGTTGAACTTATTAATATTTTTTTTAACCATTAATTGCTATTTTTAAATAAAAAAGGGGTTTTAGTGGCTTATGGTGTGAATTTATCATGCCCCCAAGGCTTGTAAACACAATAACTTTTGAAAATATCAATTTTTTAACATATAAACTGCAACATATAAATTGCATAATGATATGAATTTCCAACTCTTACACAAGAAGAATATCGGCAGACGTGAGTTCCATAATTTTCCAAATTTATCAGCAACAACGACGACTTGCTTTTCTACTGCCAACATTTTGAAAATCTCCGCAATGATTTCATTGAAAGATTCCAGGTCATTTTGAAATTGGAAATACCAGACTGGGTTTTAGATCCTTTTTCAAATGTCAACATAGCAGTATCACACCAACTGGAAGAAGAAATTATAGAACTGACAATGAACGAATAAAAATGAAATTCAAAAATGGCTACCTATAATTTTGGCTACAAAACTCATTCCTGCAGTTTTACCTTGGGTTGTGGTCGATCGTTCAACGATTTTTGATAGCTTCCCATCATCATATTTGTGTGAACGTGGATTTAGCGCAGTGATAACGCTGCTTAATAAAAACTAAATCGTTTACATTTTACCGAACGCGACGACTTACGACTGTTTTTGAGTAAAATCGAACCTGATATCAACAAACTTGTTAAAAATCATCAAATTCATCTATATCATTAGATTACTTTTAAAACTAAAATTAAAAACCTGTCTATATTGTTTCCTTTAATTTGATTAAAATATATTCTTAATATTATACTTGTAAAGTTGCGTTTTAATTGCTCCCACTTGTAATAATGTCTAGTTTAGAATGTATGTTTAAACACCAGAACCGAATAACATAGCAAATCATAAGTAAATTAATTAAAGTAATGAAATAGTGGTTTTTAAGTTATAGGAGTGTATAAAAATTGATTTTCAAAGGGGTAGAAAAGAATAAAAAGAAAGAAAGTAGTAAAAGAAATAAGGTTGGTAATCTCTGTAGTAAGAAATACAGAAAGTCGATTCACAAATTCAGCTGTGGACTTGGGATGGGATGTAATGATGATGATGAATGATGAGTTTAGGGATCATACAAAATATTCTCAACAATTCAAAGTGCGTTGTTATAGGCTACAAGCGATAGCTCCACTGATGAATTTCAATAATTAAATAAAATCGAGACTACACATGGGTGAAGAGGAGGCGGCGACACTTGAAGGGCAATTTTACGAATTTGCAAGACTTCTAGATACGAAGCGGGATGGCACTACCATCACTTTATATAGATCTGATTACTGGATGAGACAATCGAAAATTCTAGATGACAGAAAATTAACAATGACCGATACTGGAATATTATTTAACAAATTCAGGTAGGTCTTTGCACATACTTTCCTAGATTGTATTTCATAAGATAACATCTCACCACTCATTCACTCAAAACTCAAGACACACGCCTGTCACCCTGAGGGGTAGGCAGAGCCTATGGACTACCATTTGGCACGATCCTGGTACACCTCTCGCGCCTCCTTTACATCCATATACCTACGCATACAAGCTCGACAGTTAAGGGTACACTTAATCTGGCTCATCATTAATATATCACCAATTTGGTCGACAAACTTTCATCTAAGGCGTCCCCAACTTAGGGTAGGGACGCCTCACACGACTAACACAGTATAATGAATTGCCATTCGTGCCTTTTTTGACACATTCTGACTTTTCGCAATAGAGTGAAGAGCCCCATTTACTCTATTTCCTGCGTTCACTCGTCGTTCTATATCCTTGTCATATCTACCATCGCTGCTAAAAACACATCCCAAATATATAAACTTATCCACTTGCTCAACCAATTCCCCTTCTGTTCTTATTTCACATATAGTTTTTACTTTCTTTTCTTTCAAAAACCATAGTTTTCGTCTTACTTGAGTTCATTTTCATTCCCATTGCTTTTAATGACCTGTTCATTAATGTAACCATCATTTGCAACTCGGCCGCCTACGAAGCAAATATGAATTGATTATCGGCGTACAAAAGGCATTAATTTGACGGTTAACTCACCCATTATTAACCAACATTCTAAAACTTTCAAAGTTCAAAGTTTCCAAACAACTGTCCGAAGGTTGAACAGGCACGGGGAAACTATTGTATTACATTTATTGGTATTCTTTAAACGGATTTAGTCTTGGTAGGTTTACTATAAGTTTCGTCAAAATTATTATAGTTTGGTCAATTTAGAATTTAAAAATGAGCTCTCCTCCGAATTTTATTTTAATATTTAATTAATACATGTACCATATATATCTACGTATGTTCTTTTTAGTTTTTAATAATAATAATAATAATTTATTTCAGATAACAAAGTGATCCATAAAATTTGTTAGTAAATATGAATCTTAGTTAGTACCTAAATCTAATTCTTAAATACAAGTGTCTTATTAACTAAACATAGGCGGTAATATTGCTTAAGGAGGAATGAGTCGTATCTTTCAGCAATTATTTTCATGATGGAGTTGGAGCTAGCCCGCACCCTGCCAAGCAACGAGGCTGTTTTCTTTCTTATAAGGGCGTAATAGTCATCTGTACGCGCCTTTGCAAACATGCCTGATGCACTGCAAAATCGGGGTAGCCCCAACAAGATCCTGAAGCCATTATTGTACTGGACACGTAAGGTGTCGGACAGTCCGCTGTGAATAATTCGACCACAGGCTGCACGTGTAGAAAACTTGACAGTACGCTTTAAATAGCGTTATCTTTACTTGTTCACTACACCGCGCAAACCTACGAGCCAACATATTATATCGGACTGCCAGCGCCATACGTTCCCTTTCAATGTCAACATTGTCATTTAGGTCATCGGTAACAAAATGCCCTAGGTACTTAAATTTAGCAACACGTTTTATTTCAATGCCATTCAGTTTAATTGCAGGCGCATTTTCTGGGCTTTTACAGCCGACGGCCCTAAACACAATAAATTCGCTTTTATTACCGCATACTTCTCACATATCTTAAGGAGTTCTCTGGTGGCCTTAACCGTAGGACTCAGCAACACCATATCATCTGCGTAGCTTATATTATTAAAACTTACATCGTCGATACGACATCCGACTATTTTGCTGCTGAGTTCAACGATTAGGTCATTTATGTACAGGTTGAAAAGTTTTGGTGACGTAATTCCTCCCTGTCTGACCCCACATTGCAATCTGTACCTTTCAGAGAACTTATCGGCCCATCTCACATTATTATACTGATTATTATACCAGTACTGAAAAATCTTCAAAAGCTCAGCTGGAATCTTTTTCTGGCGTAGTTTATCCCATAATAAGTCATAATTTACGAGATCAAAAGCTCTGGAGAGATCTAAAAAGCATGCATATACAGGTGTACGTCGCTTTGTGTAATATTCAACAGTGTGCTTTAGGGCTAAGATAGCATTCTTAGTAGACAATTCAGACCGAAACCCAAACTATGCATCGTGCAACTCAATATAACTTTCCAGCTGTGTATCCAACCGGCTGTCAAGTATTTAGCCATAATTGTTGCCAAAGATATAGGTCGATAATTACACTTTTCTCCTACGTCACCTACGTTTTTATCTGTTTCAAACATTTTTATTAAACTATAATAAAGTAACAGTGATGGTGAAAGCAATCGAAATTTTTATACAAAATACGAAATTATTTATTTTCCTCTTAAATATTCCACTGAAAAGTAACGTATGAATATAAAAAAAAAAACATATTTCTTACAAGTAGTACGATGTAATGCACTTGTCCAATTCTGCCATAAAGAAAAATTTATGTTTATATTACATTAAATTTGTAATCGAGCCAATATAATAGTTGTTATTAAAACTCCGAAAAATTATTTGAATGCTTGTACGCACTTAGTTGTTTTAAAATTACTTATGGAAATCTTATTATATTCTAGCAAGTCGGAATTAAACTGGGACGAATGGATAGAGTATCTTACAGATGTATGTGAGCTAAAGGACTTCGATTTAGAGAAGACAAAAGAGACGCTGACGAACTGCGGAATCCCAGGGCAGACACCTGTCGTTGTCCCACAATATAGAGATTTCTTCAATACATATAAACCTAAGGAGAAAATGATCTTCTGAATAAAATGTATTGTAAATAGTTGTATTATTTATTTATAATACACTTTGTTTGAAACATAGAGTAGTCACTGCCTTATCACAATATTTTTCTAAACATATAAAAAAGAAGCATGTGTGCAGCAGTTCACACGCGTTAGAAGAGAAACCTTCGAATAAAATGAAATATAAAACGAAAATATTTCACAGCGAATGATTAATTTAATTTGATAATTTTCACCACAAGTGCGGCATAAAATTTAAGATAAAAGTTTTATAGCCAATAAATGTTACAATCACCATTTTCAGACATGTACGAGTGGAGCCTTAATTTTAGTGTATTAATTAAATCAAAAGAATATTTTCTTTCGACTAAAATAAAATAGCTTTGTAATAGCGACGTCTACTTCATTCTATAAGTAATCATTTTATGGAACAAAAATTTATTGACTCAAGGTGGTTCATAAATCGGTAAGGTATGAAATCGTGGATTGTTAAGAATGGTTTGGATATGATAATTTTATTCAATATTATTAATTTTACTTATTTGATAAATTTGTAATTTTTTATATTTTAACAGTTAAAAAGTTATATAACCAATCACTTTATACTGCACTAGTTATGCCCCACCGCTTCATCCGCGTATATCACGCGTTTGAGCCGCATGACAATCATGACACCTAACTTAAAGAGGCGTTCACTGCTGGTTTCTCTCGATTCTCATAGGGTGGCTCGCGGCGTCGATCTCGCACTGCCCAATGTCGATTTCACGGATTTGCTCCGTGGTTGAATTATTGTGATTTTTCATTATCTCTTACACTATCCAAATAACATGCTATAAAGAGCAAAGTTTATCTTCATAAAATTGTCTTGATGATGAAGTAACTTCCATTCGTACGGATTAATATGCCATTGGCCATGCTTAATAATAACGCTCATAAATCACTTTTTAATTTTCAATATTTTTGAAATGGAAATTTCTTTAGCATCGTTGTGATTTGAAACGGGATGAAACGAAAAAGTAGACAAATGTATACGTCTATAGGATTAAGCCTGCGTAAGAAAGAGATGTGTAGTAAGCAACAGTAGCCTGATGGCAAGGTGCGAACAACGAACTCAAAAGGTTGTGGGTTCGAATCCGCCACTCGATTATTTTAAAACTTACCAATAGTGATTAAAAGGAATTTTAGTAATGTTAATTGCATTGCTAGTATTTCAAAAAAAAAAGTGTTTCCTAATATTTCGGTCTCATCTGTTGCTTTAGAGATGGTTAATGTACATTTTAACAGTTAAAATGTACTTGTTATAGATTTCATATTTTACCGATTTATATTAAAATTTTCGTGTTTATGCCATCTAGCGATTTTCTTATATATCACTGAGAGTAAATCAATTTTTGTTCGATAAAATTACTTTACCTATAGAATGAAGTAGATGCCGCTATTAGAAAGCAATTTTACTCGAAAGAAAATATTATTTTGATTTATTACACTAACGTTAAGTCTAAAAATAAGAATTATTACATTAAAAAAAAACCTCTTCCGCTTTATTATATAGAGGTTTTTGTATTCAGTATAGATTCTATCTCATTCTCTTGCAGGATAATCATATAAATGTATATTTTTGTCTCTCTTTAGTGTGGCTTTTTCGTTTCATCGCGTTTCAAATATCAGCGACAGTAGGTAAAGGTGCGGTTTATATATATACACCTAAGTTTAACCAACCGCAATAGGCTGCACCTAGTAAATATATTTATTTATTTATTAAAAATCTTTATTGCACATAAAGTGTACAATTGCCGCACTTAAGCCTTTAAACATTCTCTACTAGTACACAGTACAGTAGCAGGTGCCATAAATACATGAAAATATGTATATGTAGAAAGTATAGTGGGTATGGTACAGAGACTAATTTTGTAGTTAGGAATAATAATTAATTCGTTTACACGAATTAACTATCCAACGAGTCAAGGATAAACTAGTAACGGAATACGACAAGCGTACCGTTCCATGTCAGAGCCAAGACTGCCCTAACGGCGGCCGCTCAGTCCGTTTTATACAAGCAGGACGGGCGGCAACGCAGGTGCAATGCCGCAGGTGTGCGGTACACGTGTCGTTTACAAGAATTCTGTCTAGCTAGACCGACGCCACCGCATCTACAACGGTGCAGGTGCCGTCATATATATAAATATAAATATATGTATATTACCACAAATAACCTAAATAATATTCTTTTTACCTGATGAATAGCATACGCAATTTTAATAATAATCACATTTAGAATATCTACATTATTAATATAATATAATATCAATTCATGAAAGTTAGCCATTGGAAGAAGAAAGATAATGATCAGACACCATTCTTTTAAGACAGTAATAGAAGTCGGGTCCTAATACCTATAGATAAGTTATTCCAAAGACTCAACGGCGAAAGACAGACATAAAGAATAATGGCAGACTTTCATACATAAAATTAGTTGAGAAGAAATGGTAGCGTCTATATACCAAAAATATCTTAAAATGTTAAGCGTCACTCCCTGAGTAACTTTGTCAAAGAATTTTGTCCTGAGTGGCGTCAAATAAATATATTTAGATTTGAAATTTTTAGGTTGTGTTGTGTACAGTTCATACGCGGTAGAAATGAAACCATCAAAACATTGCGAGTAAAATTGTTTTGTAATAACGCAATCTACTTCATTCTGTAGGTAAAGTCAATTTATCGAACAAAAATTGATTGCCTCGCAAATTGGTACATAAAATAGACGCTAGATGATCTGAAGCTATGAAATCGTTGTTTGCTATGAATGGCTTGGATATGATAATTTTATACAAAATGATTATTTATATTTATTTAATAAATTTGCTATTTTTTATATTGTTTATTTTAATAGTAAAAGTTTATATTAACCATCTTAAAAGCACCGCACAAGGAGGAGACCGATATAATATGAAACATTTTATTTAAAATAATATTACTAATATTCCCTTTAACCACTACTGGTAAGCTGAAAATGCTTATGTTAGGAATGATTCAGGACAGTAGTCGAATGGCGGATCTGAACCCACAACCTATTAAGTTCGCGGTCTGCATCATGCCATTAGGGTAATGTAGCTTACTACACTGTATTCTATCCCATTCTCTCGCAGGCTATATACTATTAGATGTATATGTTTGTCTCTTTTTAGTGTCGCTTTTTCGTTTCATCGAGTTTCAATAGAACAATTTTCTATAGAACAATGAAACAATTCTAAAGAAGTTTTCACTTCAGTGTCTGTCTGTAATATCGAAATAACTGCCTGATCTTGCCTGAGCTGGGTTTATTTGCTTGCCATTAAGACATGAATAACCATTTTTAAAATGTTTGTCCGTTGGTTCGGACTAATTAATCTTCGACATAGCTGAACTGATTGTAATGAAACTTCACGAACAGATAGGGGTCAATGCTAGGAGTGACTTTGTCTATATTTGTGATGTAACTTGAAAATAAAAACGAATTATTGATAAATAAATGGTCTTTGATTATCAAAAAATTCAAAATACGTTTTACCCGGTAAACGAGTTTTTAAATTACTGATGACAACTTTTATAGGACTATTGCTCGTATTTGTAAATACGTGGATGGTCTGAAAAGTTTACGACCTAACAAAGATACAAGACAATTTTTTTCTTATATTTTTTTTTCTTATTACACCACATAAATCTCCTAGCGATGCTCCCATCTCTCTAACCCGTCCAAATAGTACTCGGCGTTTTTCTTAAATATCTTGAATAATTAATTTCTTAAATATCTTAAATCTAAACAACGTAACCACCCACCACCACCGTACCCAGTTGAAGGCGGGGCGGGTTGCTAGTTAAAAATAAATTATACTGCTTTGATCAATTCGTCGTTGATGCCGCCAAAGGGTGAACCTCAATTTTTCAAAAAATTACAGGAGACCAAGAAAACATTTATTATTCCCCGATTACTAACTACTTTCATCAGAAAATTAAATATATTAGACTTAATGGAAAACTAGAAATAAGATTAATTTTCTGATGACAAAAAGCTAGTAATCGGGGAATTATAAATGTTTTCTTGCTCTATTGTAATTTTTTGAAAAATTGAGGTTCACGTCTTTGCGGCGTTGGCGACGAATTAAGTAGGTGATAATGTTAGTTATAACAGAATAGAAAATAGTACAAGTAGTGGTTAGAAACTTTTTCTCTGTGTCTTGTCACCACTCACCAGCTGAGGACCAAGCTTCACACGTGTATGCGACGCACTACTCGCTAAGTTAGAGTGTGTGTCGTCACTCGTCAGCGTCGTACAGTTTGGCACAGTGAAGTATCTTGAGGGACAAGAAGCGCTTTCAAGTTATTTTGACACTTTGTAGAAATGTATTTATATAATATTCTCCCTTACACCAGACATTAATAAATCTCAATGTAATAAACTTAAACATTAAAAACCGACTATAAAAACTAAATAGAATTAAATAATATCAACATAGTAATTTATGAAGTCGGTGATAAGACGTAGTGTATTGAAGAATTAAAGCTTCCACTACAGAAGCTATTATGTGGAAAATATTTTATTTTTTGAAATCCATTCTTAACATTAGGTAGTCTATTTAAGAAAAAATAATGATATGAATCGGTTCAGCCGTTCAAATTCAGCGATTTCTCGACAAAACGCTTAACCAAGTTCAAAAAATGAGGTTTTTGAACTCGATGAACAGTAGTACTTGATTTTTTATAAACGTATATATAAACATTCACGCCTGTCATCCAGAAACTATGGACTTCCATTTGGCACGATCCTGACACACCTCTCTCGCTTTCTCCACATCCATATACCAACGCATACACGCTCGTCGGTTAAAAGCACTCTTGATTTGGCCCATTTTCAATATATCGCCAATTTGGTCGATAAACATTCATTCTTTCTACATGACCAAACCACCGAAGCATTCCTTTCTTAATCCTGGTCACAACATCATCTTGCAAACCACACTCTTCTCTTCTTAAACAATTTCTCAC